GCCCTAAGACTCGTGACCAGGCCATCATCTTTGCCTGTCGTTAATTCATATTTTTTACATAAAAAGTAAAAAGTAGTTTCATTGTTTTGTATTTCAGCTCAATATTTATGCAGTCAGTCCTGCTGGAAACCATCGTCGTAAATAAGTGGATAACAATAAAACACTTTAATAACCGGATAAGGAAATGACAATTATAAAGGCTTTGAATAAATTAAATGAAGATTAAGCACATATTTGATCTTAAAATGTTCACAGCACCACATACCATACGACCAATAGTACTCCTTTCTCCTTATGATGATTAAAATATACACAACTGTATACTAACGTTAAAACTCGGCAACAATACAGTGATACAGTAGCTACCGCGAGACTCTTCGTAAAGAGATAAAAGTCAACTCTGGCCTTACAGACACCCTGTCAGTTCAGTTTACTTTAGAGTTGAATGCAAATACTAAGTGTATTGAATTATGATAATTCCTTTGTTTCCCACTGTCTAATTGTCACTTTTAGCGCTTTTTAGCTCTATTTGGTTAGTGATTTTGCACTCTCAATTTGTTTGACAACCAACGGTATCATATTAATCCGAAAAAACTATTTTCATTCAAGGAGTCACAAATATTAATGTTGTTTGTTGAAATCAGTTTTTGCTAAACAGTTGCCGGCTTCGGATTAATGCGAAGAATTGTTGTAAGGGGATGGATGTTTTTTTTTATTTACGTATGTAGTGTGGGACGAATATCATAACAATAAACAAAAAAAAGAAGGACGATGGTTCTTGAGGTTAATCAGGAACTCTTTGGGTAATTTATACTATTGTCACACTGAAGTCTGATAGGCTGCGGTCATGCACTACACGGTCATGTGGAAATGTTTTTAGACCACAATGAAGTGTTCGAAATTTATTTTATAAAATTCATCCACCCCCTCCCCCAAAAATAAAATGTACTGCTCAGATTGAACCAGATTAACGAGTAGGGGGTGTCATACGTATTCCATACATATGGAATTAGGTACAAGCGTATAGCGCGTCCCTAACAAGCGAATAGAAGCACCTAACAAGCGAATTGTGTCCCCTAAGGAATCCCAATTTATACCGATGATATTAGCAGTGTAAAATACTTTAAAAATGTCACAAACAATTCGTTGTTTGGCAGCGGAATCGGCCCTTGTGGTCAAGTCAGTTAAGGCGCTTTACACTTGTAGCTCTAGTCAAAGGGTTAGGTTTAGAGAAAAGGACGGTTCAGACTATAAAATGTTACATTCACAATTCTAAGTTAAAATGTTATGAGAACATTTTTACCGAATAAGTGTTAAAAAGCTCGAATAAGTCGATAAAAAATGTAGAAAAATATACAAGTGAAAAAGAGTAAGCACCCTGTTCGCTTGTTAGGTGCTTCTATTCGCTTGTTAGGGGCAGATATAGACTTGTGCCATATATGGAATACGTACGTATACTACAAAGCCGCATCAAGATTCGTATCAAAACAAGAACACGGGAATCCTAATCAGACATCTATCMRATCAAAGTTAGCCCCTCAAGGACACTCTGATAGTAAGGAACTGAAAAATCAAGCATGTCAAATTCTGTGCTTTTGGAAAAACTTTTCAAGAAAAGCGTKCCACGATCTGTGACAACTCTTTATTCACGAATAATAAATAAGTACATTCATGGAGGGGGTAAAGGGTGGTACGTATTTTGTTTCATTTGCTGGGGGAGGGGGGTAGTAATTATTTGGCTCATTTGTCATATTTTTTTAATCAATTTTGACCCAACATACTAAATTTATAAACCTCGACCTTTTTAGATTACTAAACAAGTAGCGTTGAATCGCGCAATTATTTATTAGTCTCAAAAATCAGCGTTGTTATTGTTTTATCAAAAGCGATAGCGTCGAATCCAGGACCACTCGTGAAT